TAACTGACTGACGAAGTTCCTTAACAAGTGGTTGGAATATTCTATCTTCTTTACTGGAAACGGACCATATGGTCGTTCCTTCACAATTTTGGAATAAACACTACTGTCACCGTCAGCTACAAAAAATACATATTTTAGACCATGTATTGCCATACTTTGTTTGAAACCTTCAAGTATAATGTCACTTTCCATAGAAGTGGAAGATCCGTTCCAGTTTTTAAAACAAAGATGATTTTTGTTTGTTCCATTGTGACATGTCGTACAGTATTTATTTCTTATCCCTAAAAATAATAATTTTCCTGTTCGTTGTCCAACAATACATACTGCGCCCGACGCTGAATTATAATTGCTACGATAGGAACGCTTAGCCCATGATCCATCCGCTACAACCGTAGTGACGGATACACCAGTATCATCTATTTCTCCAGCTTCTTTTGTCAAAAAACTTTCTTTTTGTCCTGCCTGAAGCATTGAATTCCAGCATTCCTCTTAGAAAATTTCTTGGAAATTTTCTTCTAATTTCCGAAATTTGTTGTATGACATGCACGGAATATTTAAAGTGCTAGAAAATTCTTACGACTGTGGGTATCCACAACTAGTATTAATTGTTCCCAGCACGTGTACCAATTGTGTGCAGTCTAATACTAACAATAACATATAGTACCAAATTTAGGTAAATATGGAGTGACCCGTACTTGATTTAACCTTTGAATAAATTGACTCAATCGTTATTTTTTTCTTAGTCACCCTGTATACGCAATTCTAAAAACTATGAACGTGTTGATCCACAACAAACATTTTGTGCGGTGAGGTTTCTCATTGTCGACAACTGCTGTGGGAGAATAACGTTCTCGGCTTGTAATAATGCTCTTATAAAGTTGTGTAAGCATGCTGTTGACTTTATAATGTTATCGACGTGTCAGAGGAGGACGCGCTAATATACCAAATGTGTCTTCAATAATACGTGTAGCTCGTGATAGCCGATAATTGAAAACTGCTTTTACAATATTTAGCTTTTTGCCAGGATATGCCAATGTTGCATCACCAACAAAAAATAATTTAGCATCGTATTGCTTCCATCTCATAATTCTGGTTCAGGTAGTGAAATTTTATTGGTCCTTGAATTTCTACCAAATACCGATGAGTTGAAAACGGCTCCATCACTTACAGAACCATATGCCTCAAGATCAATATAAGCAAAATTGTGATTAGTATCACAAACTCCAAGCAGTATTACACTGAAATAGTCTTTTTAATTGAAATATAATGAACCGCTGTTTGCTGGGGCTTTCATCCGAACATGTTTTCCGTCGATACTCTCCACTCAATGAGGTAAGTTCCATGTCTTCGAAAAGTCATCAGCCATTTGCCGAAGTTTTTCGCCAGTAGGTTCTGCCACAACAATAGGCATAAGCACCCTGCTGATAACTCCCATAACTTCTTGGATTACACAGCATACTGTGGATTTTCCAACATGATACCCATTTGCTATCGAGAAGTGCGTGTCCCCAGTAGCTAAAAACCTTAAATGGTTAAAACAAAAGTTTAGATAGGAATTTGAAGGTTTTAATTCTATTCATACAAACCTTAAACGTAATCGCCAGTCGCTGAGTTGGACAAAGCGCTGTTCTAACGCTGTCTTTTATTAGGTGTGATGCAACCAAATCGACGAGGTTTTCGAATAGTTCGCATCCTGGTATAGCAGAAAAACCATTCCGTATCACGCAAGCGCAGCTGTAGCATCACGCGCTTGAATTGACCTCTCTTTTCTCGATGTAAATTTACTGGTCGCACCCACCAACGTCTTTTCTGCTGCTTTTTAATGGGCATCTGTCTTCTGCTTCTTCTTAATAGAAGCAGCAACAACAGAAGCTGTTTTCATTATTCTCCGAACTCATTTTATTATCACAAGGATACCAATTTTATTCAGTTCGAACAATGGTATAAACTGATGATTAGGTGATCAAGTTTGAGGTTAGGCGATCCGCCGGCCGGTACTATGTTCTGCATTTGCGCAGTTTAACAGTTCTTACAGAGTTCACTCTGTTCACTGTGAACAAATATAAGCATAAGCCAGACACAAAACAAAAACTTAAATTATGTTATCCACTCGTTAAACCATACACTATAATACTTTTTTCACTTTTATATTAAGAAAAATACTTTCCGAGTTTAAAATATTTTAATGTGTGATACTACAACACAGTTTCTACCTGAAGAACGTACTGTGTAATCAATTTTTGTAATCAAAGAATATTTTACTTCACCTGCTAAATCGGTACCATGGCAACAAGCTCGAACTTAAACCGAAAATGTCCGACAATCTCAGCATGTTTAAAAAAATCTAACCAATAATCGTACAATGAATTTTTTTATTAAATGTGTATCTTTTTTTATTCCCTTGTAGCATTTACAGTGTTATATCAATATCTGGTTCACAATGTTTAAACTGAAACATAAGTTACAAATTTTTTATTTGATTTTGCCTTTAACAATATTATTTTAGTGGCTGAGTTTGGAAGATACAAATTCGCCAAACACGTCTAATTTATAATGTGTGGAAGGCCACAAAACATTCAAGGCATTAAGCAACATCACATTTTTTGCATGTTATGTCAGAACGCTGTTGAAATGCTGCTTCTGCCTATAAGACAATTTTAGAAGAAGATGAAATGTTGCTAGAACTTGGTTTAGCCATTAGCATCAAGCATCCTTTTCTTGCTGGAAGTGTTGACGCGGTAGTGGTAAAAAGTGGACACATTGTGAGGCTACTTGAATATAAATGCCCACAGATTTTAAGTATTTGTGATCCGCGAAATTTTAAGAAACATTTGACTAAGCAGCAACACTACTATTTTTGTCTACATGTTGTAAATGGTGAAATAAAATTGAAGCATGAACACCAGTACACTTACCAAATTGCTACATATATGCTAGTTTTTAATGTGGACAAATGTGATCTAGTGATATGGACACCAGTTGGTTCTTTAATAGTGGAGGTTCACAAAAAGGACATAGAAGACATTTGCGAACGTATTTTATTGTTAGAATCATTTTATTATAGCGAATTTGTTCCTGAATTCTTCACAATGAGAACTGTTCGGGACTTAAATCCAATAAAAATATGAACTAAGATTATTACTTTTTTTTATTAGATACATACATATAATATTATATTAATATAATGTAATTACGCAATAAGTGCGTTTTTAAAATTGGCTAACACAGAAATTACATAGAACATAGAACTTAATATTGGCATAAGAAGAATAGGAATTCTTGTTGTTAAAATACGGATTTTTTTCAATCTTCCGATTGCACGTTCAATATGAATTCTACCTTTTGCTATTTTCTTTGTCAACACTTCTTCTGCAGTCAATTTTTCTCTGCCAGATAAAAATGGAGGAATATATAATTTTATTTTCATTTCATCTGCGACATGTATGTTGAACCATCTATCAGCTAAAAGTACATCATCTTCATTCACAAAAACTTTTAGATCACAGTCACTAAATAGCTGTATATCTGAAATGGAACCCTCAAAGCCCTCACTAACATAACAAATTAGACCCTGAACGTTAATACCAACTAAAAATTTAACAGTATTGTCATGCTTATAAGCAGAGTGTGTATTTCCCTGTTGTCTAAAATTTTTGGGCGTTTGAATTGCCACTTCAGTTGCATCTACTATTAATGTCAAACCTGGAAAGGCTCTGAAACAAGCAGGCATATCTCTAACTGCAATATTTCTTGATGATTCAAAAAACCGTTGCTTGCAAGACACTGTCTGCAAATACATGAACTGAATCCAAGTATACACTATTGCACCTACCCAGCTTTGGCTTATACCAAAAAATATTGATAATTCTTTCAATGTGAATCCTCTTCTCAGTCTAATGAGCGTCACACACAATTTTTCTTTATTACTAATTTTTGTAAAACTGGGTTTTTTTGGAGTTTTTCCATTGTATGAGTATTTTAATTGGTTCATGACATCTGGGTCCAAAAATTTAAAAAGAGCAAGGAAATGATCATGTGGAAGACCAGTTAAAACTTCAAAATGATCATTGCTGTTTTTTAAAAGTTCATAGGACAAATATTTTGTTTCATTAATCGATGCTGATGGCTTTTTTTCTGGGAAGCATTAAATAAATTTTTTACGCATCTCTTAGTTCGCACACTTTTTGAAAACGTCATAGTATAAGAGTTCGTCAGAATTATTGGCTTAAACGCATAATTATGTTCAATTGCTTCCTCTTCCTCACCACTCTCATCGCTGCTAACATTTGGTAACACAATGTCATCACTATCTATGCTAACAGGATTAGTTTCAACAATGACTTCATTCATTACGTCAAAATTGCGAGTTAGATATTTTGATTGACTCAGTTTGAGGTTAGCCGTTTCTATGTTGGCCGGGAGTTATTCCGTTCTGCGTTTGCGCAGTTTAACAATTCTTACAGAGTTCACTCTGTCCACTGTGAACGTAGATAAGCATAAGCCAGACACAAACCAAAAACGTAAATTATGCGCTCCTTCTTATGTCTTATGTCCATTGTGAATGGGCAGTGACATTGTTTATAAATAAAGAACTATAATTACAACTTTGACTTCAAATTTGATGACAGGCTATGGATACTAAACTTTTATCAGTGAATTTTAAGTGTACTCTTCAGAATTTTATATTATAATAACACACCGCTCGTAGAACATTCATTATGCACGGATGTACATTTGAAAATATCTAGACATTAAATACCCTAACTATAATTGGTATTGCTAGCGTTGTATACCTATTTCATGTTGAATTATGCTTGTTTTTCATTACTTTGTGTGCAATATTATACTTTTGCTATACTTACTTATGGAGGGAAATAATGTTCTCTGCACGACGCTCCTGGGAAATACACCTGCAGACGTGGATGGTGAACTTAGGTACATTTCAATATTTCAATTTCACTGTAATGGTCATAGATAGTAAAATTAATAAACTTACAGGCTGATGGTGTAACACGTTTTCGTACCGAGCTGGGCATAAAAATGAGTTCACGTTGTGGTGTTCTAAAAATTAGGTCCTCCTCAGATTGGGATGGTCTTGGAGGTGATGGTGCATCAATTCCCTGTTCTGTGGCAAACGATGGACCTGTATAGTTCAAGTAATAAATATTTTACATGTCACTTCAAAGGATATTTTTACCAATCGGCAAATTTTGCGAAGGCACAGCAGTTTTCCTTAATAAACGCGAATTCAGGATTTTATCCTCTTCCTTAAAATGGTTGTGGCAAACGAAACACTTTTTATAAATACCATTATCTCCTAGTTGCTCGAATCGAGGATTATTTGCTGCCAGAACCCACTTACGAAAACGTTCCCCGTTTGTTTTTGGATTGGGGAAACGGTACATCGGTAGCTCTCGCTTTCCGCAGCCTTTTACAGAACAAGTATTTTTGGCTAATGTGCTCGTCATCGTGCTGTGTAAAAAATAATATTTTTTAATTTGAAACGCTTTCATTACAAAAATTCTTACCAAATAAACGAAATTTATTGTCACACTTACACTATTTCCATTTTTAGTTGACAGCTATACAGTACACTGTGGCAGCTAAGTTGTACAGGACTCTGTAAAAATAATACATTTCGACGTAAGCGACATCTGCGCTCATCAGACAAACTATCAAATGGCATTCAACGACCTTCACATTTAAGGTTTCCTACCCCTGGGCGACACTCTTCTGATAGTATAGAGACGTGGTGGGGGAAACCGTCGTGGCCGAAGCTGATTGGACGGCTCCGGGCGGAGTGTGGGGAGATAAACGGGCAATAGCATCAAGTGTGGGCTTCCAAATATTTGACAGATAATAACCAATGTCTCGGTTGAGATTATTCGCCTAAGTTTTTTTGCTGGCGTCCTTTCTAAATCTGCAGGGCAGTGAGTTTCCCAAGTTTTACTTTCTGCTGCATTTTCACTTCCAATGTCAGGTACCACCTGAATTATTATTGTATCCTCTGTTTCTAAAATCAGCACATAACTACCCAACATTCTTTGTAAATATTTATTTAATTTCTCACCTTGTTCAATATTTTCAGCTAGTTTCTCCTCCTCCAACTCTCGCTGGAAATTTTCAAATTCTGTTACCGGCCCTAAAAATAATTTAGAAAAAGAATGATTAGTGAAACTAAAATAAGACACATCGCAAACTAATTATTAGTCTCACCAAAGTATAATTCTTGTGCTTACCTGCCAAGTGGCGATCACTGTCATAGGAATTGTTTAACCCGGTAATTTGTTGCTGTAAAATATTCTTTACTGCGTCGTCGACGTCATTAATTTCGTATGTCTCGGCTTTTCCTACCCCAGTTCCCAGTATGGCTTCTTTAATGTGAGAAAATTTCTTCTTCGTTCGTTTTTTGATATTCAAATATTTTTCTTTCAAATTTTTTGATGTTCTATAATTGCCGCTTCTGCAATTAAATTCTTCCTGAATTTTTTTCCACGCATCCTCCTTTTGTTCCATGTGTAGGCGCCACTTTTCTTGCACTCCACAATATTTCTATATTTTTCCACTAAGGAAACTAGGATCTGTTCCTCCTCATGGGAGAAATTTGTAGATCTCTTTGAAACATCCGAAACACTTGGTTGATTTTCCATTTTTTAAATTGTTTTTCGGTAATTTGTATGTCCTAATTTAATAAAATGTGACACTTTCTGGAGCAACATTTTATAACAATTCTCGGACATGCGATAGTAATTGTGAAATTTCACAGGATCATTTTTTAATTGCGGAACATATTGATGGAATGCTCTTAATTGTTCTCGATGCATAAATATTTCTCTTACAAAGATTTTTCTATTTTTCCTTCTTTTAGTTCTGTTGTTAATGTAATACAGAACCAACATTTCATCATCAGTCGAAATATCACTCATTTTTTTTAATTTGCTTGACGTCACTTGATCCCCTTGCTGTCTAACATCAACCAAAAACTCGGTGACAAACGATCGCTGTTATTCGATGACCGTCAACGATCGATGTCCTGTGTATCTTGCGCCCACAGGACGAAATCTAATATCTAATGTCTAATTAATAATTGAATGTCAATTAGAACATCGTTCACAAAATTCACTGCTGCTTCTTCATTTAAAATGATTGCAATGTTGTGTAAAACTGCTGTTGCCACAACCACTGCCTCTACTTTATACATTTTTAAACGAATTCCAAAAGCCAATGCTGGAAAGCGTCTTTTCCACACCTCTCTCTACTGGATTTTGAGTTCGAATATGGGATTCATTGTATAATTGTTCAGCTCACGTAGCTGGGACTCTCAGTGGTGTTAATAAAAACGGTCGGATAGCATAACCACTATCACCAAGAATCAAATACTGTCTATAATCTGCAGCTTCAAATTTGGCTCTGACACGAGAATTGTTAAAAATGGTACTGTCATGGGAAGAGCCTGTCCAACGATACACAATGTTTTGAATTTTTAAAGTGGCATCACAGTTAACCTGTACATTAATTGAAAAGAAACCCTTTCTATTGCGATAAATTTTAGGCTCTTCACCATCTGGTGAGGCAATCTTCACATGTGTACAATCTAGGCCTCTATACATTTTGGAAATCTAGCGATCTTATGAAATAGATGGCTGTTCCTTTGAAAGTCGTCCTCTGTTGCCGGCATCTTGATAAAAACAATCAAAGTTGCTATTGCTCTGCTAACTTTATGAATTATTTGAGAAGCTGTTGCTTTACTAATCCCTATAAAGTCACCAGCAACTTGCAGAAAAGATCCAGTGGCAAGGAAGCGTAAAGTCACAAGTAGCATTTGCTCCGGTGACACTGCATGATTTCTTTCCGTTCGCGATGTAATTTGCTCCTGTATTTGTTGTAAAATAAACCGTACACCAGTCTTGGAAAAGCGAAATCTTTTCAAAAATTCTCCAGTATTCCACTTTTCAAAGTGATTTTCTCTCAACTAAAAAACTTTTGGTCGTCGCATACGTGTCGATTCATCACTTAAGCTTGCATTGTAAAAGCGGGCCTTAGTCTTTGCAAATGATTTTTCAACACTTGTCTCAGGTAAATAGGAACTTCAAGACCTTTTGAAGACAATTGTTTCAAATAAAAAGATGGTTTGGATCGGAACATTGCCACATGGTTTCACAGTTTCCTTCGTTATTAGAACAATAACGTATAGTTACATGTCTACATACACCGCCGTTTGCGATAAAAGTAAACAAACGAGTCGTTTTTAAACAATTCGAACGAATCTCGGGGAAAAGGAAATCACTCGAGTGGCTTCGAAATCTCCGACAACTTAAAACAGAAAAAATGTGTTTAGGTTACGGGGAATAAGAAAAATTTTTGTTTTGCTGATTTTTATAAATATACTAGCGGAACCCGGCAGACGTTGTCCTGCTTGTGTATATATTTACTTTGTATATATGTGGATATAAATGTATGGTCTGGAGCGCAGAATGCGTTGTAGAAAACTGAATAATAAGATAACTCATATTGATGCTATTCCATTTATTTTCATTAGTATACACAATGTACACATTTTTGTATTAGTAATTCACGTGAATGAACAAAATTTTTGACTATTGTATGCGCTATATATGCTAGTCCAAAAGGTATAAGGTTATATGACCATTATAAAAGTAGTTGACCGCAAATAAGTACCCCCTTTGTGTGGTTCGCACTAAGCTTACCGGTATTTAACAGGGCCGGCTTTCAAAGCCAGTGGTGATTTCGGAACCCTCAGCGGCTGCAGATAGTAAAGAAATAGTGGAGTGGTGGATTTACATATTTAGTGAAAGCCGCTTCTGAACGTAACCACAACAGCCGGTCGAGCTCCATTGGACACGTTATTTACGACCCTAAAACCTTTTCTATTGTAAACAACTTAACTTCGACACAATGGGATGATTTTGTGATGGCCATATAACCTTACAGCTTTTGGTCCACTATAACTGAAACACCTTGAACACATTTTAATCAATACTAACATCTATCGTAACGCTAGTGGATAAACAATATTTTTGGTTTTTCGATTTGGTGTATAGACGTACAGAGTTTTTGGAATTCCTACTCTGGAGCAAGCAACATACAGTTGACCATGCGAAAAACATAGATTTCCTAAATTTAATCCGGCAACGCGCAGAGACTGCCCTTGGGCTTTGTTGATTGCCATCGCGAAAGCAAGACGCACAGGAAACTGTAGTCGTTTGAATGTAAAGGGCAAATCAGTAGGAACCATTGGAATGCGCGGAATCAGTTTGATTTTTTGGATGGCATTTTCAATAATCTCTAGTAATTCACTCTTTGTTATTACTGAGGATTGTAGACAGTGAACATCACTAATGATTTTATTTTGTGGTCAATACGATTTTTGTTGTAATACCAACGAAAACAATGCTGTCATTGGTGCCGCCATATATCTAAGGGTACAGGTGAACTCGGCAGCAAGCCTAATCCATCGTAAAATATACACGCCAATTCGGCACCAGCAATTTCAGGTAATTTTAAAAACTACCCTTTGACCATAGACCAACTCGACACCAACCACCCGCTTCAGGTAGTTCATGAATAAACCGGTAGTAGCAGCTTATGTATATATATGTTAAAATTCAGTCTATACACATCCCAGCAGTGATAAAAACACGTACGGTTCGACAAGCCGTATTGTTTTTAGAAGAAAAATTGCATCAACTTAAAAACGGCATCTTAACAGACTATGAATTCGTCAAATTCGTATCGCATTGATACAAAATTTGTAATTATTAATAACCCTTGTTACCATACCTGCTGCTGTAGTGCCGAGTTCACCGATCTTTATTTCGGGCTCGGTGCCGAGTTGGCCTATCGTAACTACCCGCAAAATTTACCTGCGATTAGTTGGTGCCCAGTTGGCGTCCGCCCATATATCTAATACTTGCTAACTCTTCAAAAGTAACATAGAAACGGTGTTCACGGACAAAGGGAGATGGAAGATATTGTTTTCTGTTTAGAAAAGTACCGAGGGTCTGTGCGCACGTACACAAAATAGAAGCGAATGTATGAAATGTCAAAACACATCTAGTCACGTTATCGACTAAAAATCAAGCAAGTACGAGTATATGAGCAGTACTGTTTGGTACTATAGAGAGACAAAGAGGTCCGATATATTGCTCTGCCGTTGTGTTTTCGGACTCTTTTGAGGCCTGATAGCAATATAGTAGTATTAGATATATGGGTGCCGCTGATTCTCTAAGTTCATAATACTTTAACAGAGACGTTGATGTGCTGCAGTGCCATCTAGTGGCAAGTTACAGCAAAATCGATAACGCGAAAATATTCTCCATAGTCAAATGCCAACGTGTACCAATTTTTATGAGAATCGGTTGAACGGTGTAGAAGTTGATGTGCTGTAGCGCCATCTAGTGGCTAGTTACAGCAAAGCGGATACCACAAAAACCTTCTCCATGAAAAACCACTTACATGTGCCAAATTTCATGGTGATCGGTCAAACGATTTCGGAGTCTATCGATCACAGATATATATACCAACATCCATTTTTATATATATAGATTAAAAATATTTACATTTTGTACAACTAAAACTAAGAAACCTAACCTATAACTACATAAAGCTGAACTAAACTAACCTATAACTATATATATACATAAAACTAGAAGTTAAACTAACCGATAACTATATATACTCATAAAACTAAAATAACCTAACCTACCCTAACCTAAAGCCATCGTCCAAGTCGAAGGAATACCTATCCAGGAACAGAGCCGTGTCGAGGGTTCGATGGGTCAGCCTGTGTTCCTGGTAGTATTGCCTCTCCCACTGGGCCCTCCACACGCAGAAAGCCTGATACTCAGACAGTGGCTTGACGCCGTCGTTCATGCCACTCGGGAGAGGCGGCAGCTCCGTCCCTGGCGGCACAGTCTGCAAAACAAGTGTATATTAGTACATTACAATCAAAATAACACGAAATAAATACATACCTTCGGAGGAGACGGCGCCTGAGCCATGAAGAGTGGCGTTAGGTTCGTTACAGCCCTCGAGTACTCGCGGGGGATCGAGGTGGGCAGGTGTGGGGATATGGGGGATAGGAATGTGGCCAACAGGATTGGGAATGAAATAGGGAAAAATGAAATGCGGAATTATGGGAGAAGGAGAACGAGAAGGAGGTTTTGGCAGGGATTGACGAGCGGAGGAGTTGAGGGGCCGATCCCCGGTCTCCGTTTCGGCGGCTTCTCTTGCGTCTCACCGGGAGAGACGCAGTCGAAGGACCTCTTAGACGAAGGGCCAGCGGTGGCGAAGTCGCTTCCTGAAATGTAGAAAATAGCTATTAGTGCATGCTTCACAAACAAAAAATGAAATAGTTAAAAGTCAAAGTACTTACCAGAAGATCCGTCCATGGTAAAAATCGTCCAACCTCGCGGTTAGAAAAGCTGGGAAGGACAATGGTTAACGATTAAAATACATTTATTCAAGCGTTCTTGGTTACAGTGTTTCCTTAAGATATGTTACATGTCAATGGGGCGCTGCTGGCTTAGGGCCTTTTCAGCGCTGGGCTAATTTAACAATTGTTGGGTTTGAATTTAACTAACTAGTGCTTAAGATAGTTCATTTAACAATGTGGTGAGCTTAAATAAATATTTACATGTGATATGGGTTAACTAATTATTGTCTATTATCTATGCCCATGATGGGTCCTTGGTCCTTGGGGGGTGGGTGTTCATCCTGGTCCTGGAGGGCTGGAAGCTGGAAGAGATCGGTGGTGTGTCGTCGTCGTTGTCGTCGTCGGGTGGTCGCCGGTGTCCAAGTCCAGGTGTCGGTGGTGGGTCTGGGGGGGAGGGGTGGCGAAGTGGCGGTGTCGGGGGCGGGGACGTCAGCGTCCTCGCATGGATATAGGCGTTTGCTCAACTAGTTCCTGGGGAGCCTGAGGGAGATCAGGGTACAGGCCTGTACCCTGATCTCCTAGAAACCCTGCAGGGCTTCTAGGAGAGCGGTGGGTGCGTGTTTAAATTTGTTTTTGGGAACTCGCAGCAGGCGGTGTAATAACCGGTTGTTAGCGGCTGGGTATTTGTAGGAGGTGTGTAAGTTACCGATGGCTATGGTGTTATTGCTGTTGAGTGTGCGTTTGACGTAGTTTTGTTGGAGGGTTTTTAAGCGATCGGGGATGGGAGTAGCGTTTGTACGCTGGTATACATGCATTGACGGGTATCTTGGGTGGAGTCCAAAAGCTCGTCGGAGGATTTTTCCTTCGCATGCTGTTATTTTGTGTAGGGATTTTTTGGAGATGGTCGCGTAGATTGGGGCCCGGTAGTCGATAATTGGGCGGATAAAGGTGTTATAGGTGTGTTTTAGGGTTTGAGGATTGCAACCGTGGATACGGCCGCGTATTAGGGATAGGAGGTTAGAGCGGTTTCGGATTTTTTTGAGGGTAGTTTCTAGGTCGGGGGTTAGGGAGCAGTTGTCGGAAAAGGTTATGCCCAAATATCTAACTGTTTTGTATTGTGGAATTTGTTCGGCATGCAATGTTAATCGCGATTGTGTGAATTTGTGTCTTTTCGAGGTTGCACCGGGATATGTCATGCAGATGGATTGGGATTTTATGGGGTTGGGTTTGACTCGCCAGTTGTTGGCCCACGTCTCGTATCGCCGGAGTGCTCCCTGGATGGTGGTGGTGGCTCGTTCGGGGTCTCGGTGGGATGTCCAGAACGCGGTGTCGTCGGCGAACATCCTCGTCTTGATCCTGGGGGTATCTGTAATAGGAAAGTCACTGCACTATATGGAGTATAGAATAGGTGAAAGCACGGAGCCCTG